CATCTTTTTAAGTGGGAGAACTTGCACAATTGGTGGCTGACTAAATACTTTTTTGCCCCACTGTACAATCTTTAAGAAAAACCATGTTTGGGTTAGCATCACACTAAGTTGAAATCAAGCAAACCACAAGACATACAACCTCAGTGGGGAGGGTACTCTTGAGTCAGTCTTGATTTCTGGTGACTGCCTGGATGGTCCCTACAATTTTCTTGGCAACATTTTCAGAAGTGGTTTGCCATTGCCTCCTTCCTAGGGCTGACAGAGAGTGACTGGCCCAAAGTCACACAGCTGGCTTCATGCATAAGGTGGAACTAGAATTCACATTCTCCCAGTTTCTAGCCTTGTGCCTTAACCACTACACCAAACTGGCTCTCTACACTTCATCTATCAAAAACTGAGGTATAAACCCTAGAATAGGCTTAGGACGGATATAACACAATATTCTTAATACATCCACGACAAAGAAAAAATAGCTGAACCCACCCCTACTGCAATCCCTGATCACCCAAAAATTATTGATATGGATCCTGGTCATCAGAAGCTTTACCACCCTTGCCTTAGCATGATATTCAATCCCAGTCATTAAGATTTGAACTCTGGCATATTAACTCTTGGTTTGTCCACAACTGTGATGCTCTGACATTTCAGAAATACTGAATGCACAGGAGATTTTCCAGAGAGAAAACTGGTAGCTATTTCATCAGACTTTATCCTCAATTTCAGAAGCATGTAATTATTATTGTGGTATTTTATCTACTTTTTATTTAACTTGTTGTACAAGATATCTTTAGATTTATGACTGTGCAAAACCTTGGAATAAATATACATTTGAAATAATAGCTGAAGACATTTCCATTTCTATCATATATAAAGCAAGCTATTTTCTTCTTACTGAGAACAATGTGATCTTAAAAAATGATTCTCAAGGAAAAAGTGTTCTTGCTCCTATCTTGTAAAGCTCTGAGGTAAAACATGTTATGTTGACTAGCTACAAAATACTTTCTCAACTAACTATACTTAAGTTCATTTAAGAGGAGCGCTGTCATTTCTCGGCTACAATGAACTATAATGTAAAGGAAAGGATTCTTATTATTGAAAGCAGAATCCCAAACCAGTTGAGTCTCAGTTGATTCAGCAGTTCTCAAATCAGAGTTGGCAGAAGAAATATGATCTCTTTACTTTTAATATCAATCCTAGGGCTGCCACATGTGAAGTATGAAACTCAAG